AAAAACACAGTATCATCATTTGTACATTACTACTATATTTATCATTGTACATTACTATTATATTTAACATTAATTATATTTTTTATGTGTTCGCCTCTTTCACATCTTTGAACATGTTACAATTATACATCCATTATCATTATAGGTGTTCTTCAAAGAAACAGTTTCCATACGATCACAAAAATGAAGCTTGGTAAATGGAGATTCGTATGAGTGATCGCGCATGGGCATCATAAAATTAGTTTTGAAATTCATAAAATAAATTTTTTTTATTATAATTTCATCGTGTATTCTCTGAAATGTAATGCTAATCAATAATACTTATTTTCACAATAATTTCAATGAAACTTTAATGAAATTTTTTCCACCACTATTAGTGACACTACTTGTCGAATTTACTTATTGCTATTAATGACACTATTAATGACACTAGTAGTATATTTGTATGCTTACTAGATCAATTCAAGATTTTTTTTCCAACGAAAATTAATCGAAATTGGAGCAAAAAATCTGTCGAAATCGATAGAAATTTCGAAAATTTTCGATTTTCGTATAATCGAAATGACATTACTCTTTTCGAGTAATTATTTCTGACTGGGAATGCGATACCGAATCATCATACTCACGCAATCACATCTCTTTTGTAATCTGTACGTTCTAAATCTAATCATTTGAGTTTGTATTAAACCGCCTATATGAGTCAGAATCAATAAGTAATATTTATTTGCAAGCTTAACTATTTCCCGCCAATTGTCCTTCGCCATTAGTTAGTCATCGCCCAGACACGCTCGGCGCCACATTGGTTACAGCAGTAACGTAGCCATATCTATCATTACGATGAATATCGTACGTCGTATAACGAATGTCGCACGTAGTATGAATCCTACATTTCAAGTACACTGAGTTTCATCCGGAGCGATCCCGAGCAACTCCCGAGAGTCAATACGAACTATTATTATACATTTGATTTGCCCACGATGGCTGAGTTCAATCACGTTCTCTCATTGGCCAGCAAAAATGCTTACCCAATAGCACATCTTGTTAGTGTACTTTCACTATGTATCGAAAATCCAAACAGGGAACAAGAAGGAATAATACATTCAAATAATTTGGAAAAATGTTACGTGTTCTGGTGCGTCTACTAATTAGTGCTATTGGTATTGTAATGGCTGTATTTGCTTTTTTTATCTTGTTCATTATTTATGGCAATCGTGATGTCGGATTTTGGTCAGTATTAACAGGTTAGCGATTTTGCTTCATTTGACAGCATACATATGATTAAGGGATAAGTGTTTTAAACCCCCTCCCCTCCTCCCCGTCATCATTATTGATGAAATTAAGTTCATTTGATACATTTTGCATTAAACAAAGGAATTTGATAAAAACAAAAAATCGTTCTGCTTCCGTGAATCGAAAAGTTGATTTTTGAGGTCTGTTAGAGCTGCGAACATCGATCATCTTTTACGGTTGCACTTTCATGCTCTATCGCTACATGCGCGTATGTAAGTAATTTTCGCTGTATTTGCCGACAAGATACTCAAAAATAGTCAAAGATAGTCAAAGATAGTCGGTTCTTATAAAACTCTGACGATTGTTAAAATTAAGTGATTTTTTACTGATAGTACGAAAATCATTTCACGATTTATCGTGTAGTAAACATATATACACGAAACTTAATATTTCCTAGTCTATTCTACAATGTGTTTTTGTTTTACTATTTTTTACATCTTGTCTTTTTGTTTCTTTTCTGGTTTTTTATTTTCGAGATAAATCCTATTCTACAGTGTGCCTTTTTTTGTTTCCTGTTTTTGCTCTTTATCTCTTCTTTCTCTCTTTGCAACTGTTTTATTGACAATTGCATTTCTTACTACATGTTTCCTGTTTCTCCCAAAGTTAGTTAATTTTTATCTCGGGCGATATAAAACAAAAAACTGGATAAAAAGACAAGATATAAAATATAATAAAAAGCATAGAACAAAAAAAACATTATAGAATAGGCTTGTAACTTAATATTTGATGACTTAGTAATAGTCGATTTTTGTTTAAAATTGAGATTTGAATGTTATCATCCGTGTTCTTTATCGCAATAGAAATGATAACTTTGGAAAAAATTGTAATTTTTCGGCAACATAAAGTAATATAGCATTAGCATTAAAAGCATACATAGCATTAAAAGTATACATACTTATCTGTACAGCAATCATATAAAAAAAAATTACAAATTACAAATAATGTATTATCGATATATTTGTGTATTTAATGCAAATTTTTATTAATTGTCGGTAATATCATCGTTCTTTAATTATTCCTCGGAGCCCTACTGAAATAAAATTAATAGGATAAACGTCAATTGTGTCCATGAGCTTGTAATCTAAATTGCATCGTAATAATTTATTTATACTGCTATCAAAAATATATGTAACGCGAAAAAGGGATTTGCATAACTTTTGTTTCTAATGTCATAGTTCTATATGGTTACAGTGAATAGTCGACCATTAAAATCAACTGATGGCTCTCGTAATATCTTGACATTGTTCTCCTGTCTATTTAATAAAAAGCTATAATCATTCAAGAAAATAATATAATCTCAACAATGATCCTCATATATATA